CACTGCACTCCAGCCTGGGCAACAGAGTGAGACTCCACCTCAAAAAAAAAAAAAAAAAAAGAAAAGAAGTAGAATTACTAAAAGGTCATTATGTTTTATGTCACTTGTCAGATGGTGTCTGGGAAGATTGCAAGAATTCTCTCCGTAATCACTTCAGTGTTCTTAGCCTGTGCATGTTCAGTGATGATTATTTAATATCAAGTGCTATAAAACAGAGCCCATGGATTTTTGAAAAGACACAGTCCCTGCCACCAAGATGCTTACATCCAGCATGCTTTTCATCCTCCCAAACTGAAAACTCTGCACCCATTAAACAACTCCTCATTTTTCCCTCCCTCCAGTCTCTGGCAATCACCACTCGACTTTCTGTCTCTATGGATGAGACTACTCTAGGTACTTCATGTGAGTGGAATCACACAGTATTTCTCTTTTTGTGACTTGCTTATTTCACTTAGCATAATGTCCTCAAGGTTCATCCATGTTGTAGCGTGTGTCAGAACTTCCTTCCTTTTTAAGAATGAATAGTATTCCATTGTCTATATATAACACATTTTGTTTATCCATTCAAATGTCGATGGATACTTGGGTTACCTCTAGCTTTTGGCTATTGTGAATAACACTGCTGTGAGCACTGGTATACCAATCTCTCTTTGAGACCCTGCTTTCAATTCTTCTGAGTATATACTCAAAAATGGAATTGCTGGATTATATGGTAATTCTAGTTTTAATTTTTTGAGGACCCACTATATTGTTTTCCATTCCCTTCCACATTTTTAATAGCATTTAAATCCAGTCAAACTTTCTAGTCCTCTGTGGGACCATCATGTGGATATAAAGGATTTATTGCCCTAGGAGGGTATAACGTGGAAGCCATTGAGATATAAAATTCTGACAATTGCTATAAAAAGACAAAGTAAGGCATATGTCCAGCTTAGTTCTACATAGTTCATTCAATAAATATATATTAGGGAGAGAGTATGTGCTAGATGCTGAGCCTAAACAGTCTCTGCCTTGAAGGAGCTGATAGCCTAGTGGAAGGAATACTGACAAGAAACTGGCCAGTTACAACACATGTGGTATTTCAACATGGACAGACACTGGCTGCTAGAGAAAACACACACAGGGTGGTACCAAACCCTATCTGGGCTCTCCATCATCTGGACAACTACAATTTGCTTCTTCACTGCCTTCACTCTACTTCTGGCACTCACAAGGCCCAACTGTGAGTCTGGCACTTTGTTAGAGGGATCATCCTCTAGTACAGATCTCAGCAAGATATTCCCTCATTTTCCTGCTTAAAGCCCTTCAGAGTTTCCCCTTGCTTTCATGATGGAGCCAAAGCTTCTTGGCCAGTGGCAAAAAGAGCCGTAGCAGGCCTCCCTCTTGACTACTCTCAACCACTGATGGGCACAGCTCTGTGCCTTTGCTCAAGCAGCATCCTGAACCTGGCTGATCTCCCACCATTAGTGGTTCTCAACCCTGATTGCACATTAGAATCATCTGGGGGAAATTAAACAACAAAAAACAAAAACAAACAATGGCAGGGCCTCACTCCAGATAGGATGAATTAGGATCTCTGAGGGTAGGGCCTGCACACTGGCTCAGCTCTCCAGGGTGACTCTGATTTAAACCACACACAGGCATACAACCCTCCTCCACACCCCAGCAGGACCTCCCAGTTAGGCTGCCATCAGCCCCAAAGACAGCTCTGGTTCTGCTCCTGGACTGAATGCAGACAACTCTGACTTTGGCTTTTTCTAGATGAGTCTCATTCAGTCAGAAAAGATTTGAAACACCTACTGTGAACAATGCAGCTGACAACCTTCTCCACAAATTACACATGACAACTGTAATATTTTAAATGTCATAATGTACACAATCCCTGATACTCACCCCCTCACTTACCTCTTCACAGTGGAAGGCAACATATATTTATTGAGCAACTCTCTGGGACATACACTCTCCTGTCATCTCAATCCTCACAATATTCCTGAAATACAGATAATGGCTTATTTTCATCTTACAGGTGAGGAAACCTGCTAAAAACAGTAAATAATTTGCATGCTTTTTTTTCAGGGTGTCCATCACATTTAAAAAACGTTTTTACTGCCTTCCCCACAAGACCATAAGAGAAGATCCACATGTTTTATTCACCTATACACACCTAGCAAACACCCAGCCAGTGCTTACTATTACTTAACACATTTTTGTTGTTGTTAAATGAGTGATGAGCATCCAGGATGCTCTCTCTCTTCTCTGCTTGTGAGCTTCATTTCTTTTCACTACACACCAGCTTGCTTGTACTCATTGCACCTAAGCCCAGTGCTCCTCGGCTTCTTCCGCAGGAGACCAAGTCCATCTCGATTCTAGTTCAAAAAAATAATTCAAAAAATTCTAGTTCAAATATATCTTGTTAAAAAAACAAAACAAAACAACCACCACCACCAGAACCATGGTGCCCACTGTGGGCTAATCAAATGGGTTTGAGGGGTCAAAACATTTGCATAAAGAAGGTCAAGCAGGTCCAGTTCCTAGAAATGAGGGGTGCTGAGCAAGTTGGATAAGTTTCCTGACCATTCTGTGCCTCAATTTCCTCATCTACAAAATGGGAGAAATCCAACATCCTAGGATTAATGAGAATTAAATGAAAGTCTTGATAAAGTGCTTTGAACTATGGCTGTCACATAGTAAGTGTGAATAACAGGATGTGAGTCTACAATTAAAAGGCTTAAAAATATCTACCAAACCAGGCATTGTTCTAGAGCAGGGGGTCAGCACACTTTTTCTGTTAAAGATCAGAAGGTACATATTTTAGGCTTTGTAGGCCATACAATCTCTATGGACTACTCAACTCTGTTGCTCTTGTAGCAGCAACAGCAGATACAGAAAATAACATAAATGGATAGGCATGATCTTGTTCTGGTAACACTTGTTTACAAAAACAGGCAGGCTAGATTTGGCTGCAGGTCATAGTTTGTTGACCCTTTTCTAGAGCAGGGCTGTGCAACATAAATATAACATGTAAACCACAAATATGATTTAAAATTTTCCAGTAGTCATGTTAAAAAATAAAAATTGAAATTATACATTTTATTTAACCCAGTATATCCAGAATAGTCATCTCAACACGTGATTAATATAAACAAATTGAGATAGTTTACATTCTTTTTCATGCTAATTTCCCAAACTTCACTGTCTTACACTTATAGCACATCTCAATTCGGACAAGCCACATTTCAAGTGCTCAAGCCTTATGTAATAATGGCTATCATTATTGGACACCACGGTTCTAGAACTGATGCTAATATGGATAATGCTTAGATGCATACCTATACCAAAAAGTTTATACAGTGCCAGGAAAAGTAGGCACGAAATATGGTATTGGATCCATATAAAAACTTATAAAGATTAGCTAATATTATAGTAAGCAAGGTGCACACATCTGCACAAAAATGGCCTAAACCCTGAGAAGAACGAGAGGAAAGTTCTGGAAACAATGTTTCCAGAAGTTGGTAAAAAGTCAGTAATAACCTAGATCTGTTCAGATCTTTAGATCTCTTTAAAGCCTAAAGAGAAAGTGTAACTTTCTAGCCCTAACCCACTTACAGCTCCCCAGCTTCACAGAGAGCCCCGCCCTCTATGGAGAGAAATGATGCCAAATGTTGACAGTGGTGTAGCGGTTACTGAACTGCCACTCAGTACTGCGCTAGGGCCCTTTCCCTTAATGGTGACCCCTAGTAAAGGTGCAGCGAGAGGAAGAGACCAGCCCAACAGCCCGGTCTAACCCGGGTTCGAGTTCCGGTGGGTGGGGTCGAGCAACATGCAAAGCCTGCCGCTAATCATCTTGGGATGACGGCCCGGCACCCAGCACACAAGCAGCTGCTGTCCCGAGGGTTCAGCCCACTCTGGCGACCTCGGCAGTCGGAGAGGAAGGGGCGGGGGTGCGAGCACCTTTGGACCTACGCCGCCCAGGGCGCACCGGAAAGCCGCCGCGAGCCGGGGTGGGCTTCCGCTGGGAACAAGGGCTCGCCTTTCTGCGGGACACAGGCCCTGGCAAACCTGAAGCGTGACTCACTGAAAAGCGCAGGCGCAGTTCCGGAGCTTTCAGCCGCCCAGCGTCCACGGAGAACTTCCGGTCACCGGGACTGGGCAACTTCAAGGCTTAGCCAATCCAAGCCCACAGGCTGGCGCACGTGGGCCTGGGACCCAGCGCATGCGCACTAGGGAAATGGCGCATGCGTAGAGCGAACGGCGGCGGCCGTGGGACTGGGCTCGCGCGGCTTCCTGGAGGAGGAGCTATGGCCCCGCCCCTGGCCCGAGAGAAAGAAACTGCACTTTCGTTTTTTAGCAGCAAAGGTTGTTGACGTACTTTACAGCTTATCTGTTCTGCTTCTACTCAGGACAGTCAAGACAGTGTTCAGCTAGATGTTCACATAACCGTAGACATAAATGTGAATCTATTTAACGCAGTAATTAATTCAAAAAGTGTTTTTAACATCCTAGCATGCAACAGTTGATATGAAAGTAGTAAATGTTAATTGAGTGGTCATGTGCATCCTGGACTTCTCATCTGTGCACATTCTCATTCTTTGCCTGCAAAGGGCCAGTAAAAGCACAGTGATGGTTGAACGAATGTGACAGCCTCCTATGCTGATGCCTTACTCCAAAGTAATTTGGGGAAAGGTTCAGGGAAGCAGATTATCCAATCCAATACTCTGGACTGGGTGCTGGCAGAAAGGAGGGCGATTGTATGATTAAGTATCATAATAAATCTTACCTAAAAGGAGGGGAGACAAGACCAGTGACTCATTAACTTACCTAAAAGGAGAGGAGACAAGACCAGCAACTCATTAACTGGGATGTTTGGTCATTTTTGTGGTTTGGACAATGTTTATGTTTTTTCAGCATTCCCACGTGATTACAAAGGAGTCTTGTTTTTGTCTTGATCCATCCGGTCAAAGAGTGGCCACGTCTGATGGTGTTCTGTGAAGTATTTATGTTCCACGGAGCACCAAGGCCCAGCTGTGACTGCCGGGTCAGCTCAGAGCTGTCAGGGGTTACTTTTATCTTGCTGTCTATTACAGGGCTAAAATGTTTGCCATTGTAAATTGTAATGCAATTTTCACTTAAGAATTATATAATACCTTGTTGAAGAAAAAATTATTTGGCTGGGCGTGGTGGCTCACGCCTGTAACCCCAGCACTTTGGGAGGCTGAGGCAGGCGGATCACAAGGTCAGGAGCTCAAGACCATCCTGGCTAACACGGTGAAACCCCGTCTCTACTAAAAATACAAAAAATTAGCCGGGCGTGGTGGCACGTGCCTGTAATCCCAGCTACTTGGGAGGCTGAGGCAGAGAATCGCTTGAACCCAGGAGGCGGAGGTTGCAGTGAGCTGAGATCGTGCCCTGCACTCCAGCCTAGCGACAGAGCAAGACTTTGTCTAAAAAAAAAAGAAAAGAAAAGAAAAGAAAATTATTTAATGACACTTGTCACTTGTTAAAGCATGGTAAGGAAGACTTTATTCAGGACCATTGAGGTAGACATAGGGACCACTGCAACAGGGTCTTGCAGTGGGGAAGAGAGATTGGGCTCAACTTCAAATGTGGCATGGAAAAGTGAGAATTTATAGCCAAGGAGCAAGGTAGGGAGGTCAGTGAATGGACCTCCCTGACCTTTGCTGTAGAAATTTCTGGCCGAGTTCATCTGGAATGAATCTAGGGCTGCCAATGGATTCTAAAGAGGTTGCTGAAAAGTTGGTTCTTTTGGGCAATTTAAAAATGGAATATTTATAAAAGTACTCACGTCTGTGATAATTTATCATGCATAGTTTTCAGGCCTTTGTTTTAAAATCATCTTTCAGCTGCTTCAATACTCTGGAATTCTCTTTGATAAATTTCCCTTAGTGCAGCGGAAACCTCTTTTCAATCCTTATTAAGTCTCTGAGTGGCAATATATTAACAGATATTCTGAGCTCATGCAGACAGCCCTTTCCTGCGAATTCCCAAGGAAGAGAGGCAAAATCCTTTATGGGCCTTCTCCAGAGGCTAATGTTACACATTGCTGAGGGAACAGTTACAGATGTTTTCCATGGAATGAGGTCAGAGAAACTGCCTCTTTCTGGGTTCTGAGGTGCCGGCCGGTGTTCATTTCCTGATAAAACACCAGGACCAGACACTGGGCTTAACTGGGGATGTTCTTATAAGTCACAGTATGGAAGGCATAGGATTAAAACAATGAACAGTTCCCTTGAAATCTCAGGAGTTACAGAATATTAGGAAATAGAACAAAAAGTCATACATTATAGAAACAGAAACCTTATGTTTAAGTTCTGCAACATATTTCTCAGACTTATGCAGGTGAAATGACAGAGAAGCAGCAAACATGGTATCTCCAGTGAACATCCCCAGAGGCTCCCAGAAGAGCTAGTTCCATGGGTCAGGCAGTGCCTGGCTGGTGGGCCACAGACTGCTTAAACCAACCTAATACCTCTTTTGTTCTTTGGAGGTGCCCACTTTGGAGATCTTTTGGAGGACCCTCCCTTTGCTGGTAGCCTCTTCTTACCCATTCCATGGTTCAGATGCTGTACCCTCTGGTTGACTGCCGGCTCCTGCTTTTGGTAGTACATCCCACACAAACTTTTTCTGTCAGGTTACCTCACTTGCAGGCCTCTTGGTCAGGGTCCTTCCAAGACAGCCTAGGCCCAGCTGCTTGCTTGATGTGTACTTAGCCCATGGGAACAACCCAGTGGCTCTGCTCCCCAACCAGCCCTGGAAGCAGGGCTGTTCCCTCTGCAGCCCTTCTCGTCATCTTTACAGTCGGTCTTAGGTAGCTCTAGCTGGCTTCTCGCCTATTCATTGTTTTTTTTTGTTTGTTTGTTTGTTTGTTTTTTTGGAGAGTTAGACACCATTCTACAACAGGGGCACCTGTCCATCTCTCTGAGTGGTTCTGTCAAAGTCCCCCTCACTTGCCTTGGAGTGGGGTGGGAAGGAAGCTTCCAGAACTGTAACAACCCTCTTTCACTCTTGCCTTCTCCTGTACATAAGCTGAAGAGTGGCAAGGGGGCTCACCATTTAGTAAGCCCTGGGTAAATGGTCTAACATCTGTCATTAGAACCAGGAGACACTTAACATTGTGCTCACCTTTGGGGCCTTGGACAAAACTCTGAGTCAGGAAATATCCCATGTAACATCTTCTTGTACCTGTAGTAATCTCCAGATCAGTTCCATACCTCTTATTCTCCTTTTCTGTATCATTTGTCCATTTTGCTAATTTCTCTAGAAGGTATGTTATTCTACTATAGATTTATGGCAATATATTTAGTGGAGAAATGATGAAGGACCAGAAAGTCTGGCTTCAGTCACCTCTTGGTTGATATGGTATGGCTATGTCCCCACCCAAATCTCATCTTGAATTGTAGTTCCTATAAGGCCTATGTGTTGTGGGAGGGACCTGGTGGGAGGTAACTGATTCATAGGAGCAGTTACCCCCATGCTGTTCTTGTGATAGTGAGTTCTCATTAGATCTGATGGTTTTATAAGGGGTGTTTCCCCTTTTGCTCTGTACTTCTCCTTGCTTTCACCATGTGAAGAAGGATATGTTTGCTTCCCTTTCCACCGTGATTGTAAGTTTCCTGAGGCCTCCCCAACCCTGCAGAACTGTGAGTCAATTAAACCTATTTGCTTATTAAAATACCCCGTCTCAGGTATTTCTTCAAAGCCGTGTGAGAACGTACTAATACATTGGTGCATATCATAAGAGGAAAATTCAGAGGCAGTGCAACAACATCTTTAGTATTTTGTTACTAAGGATTCTTCAAAATTCTCTTTAATCAGAAAAATATAGAACAATTACAAAATGAAATGGAACAAGGGGACACCAACTCTACTCAAAGACCTCTGCCTTCCTACACAGTTGCTATTTCCACTGCTATGAAGAAATCTGAACTGAGGCCTGTCATCTGGGGTTTTGTTCTGCCAGAGTGGCTTGTGACCAGGAGTAGTACAGTCTGGAGGTGACCCTGACATGCGGACTGCCCCATGAAATGCCTCATTTCATTTTGGTTTTCGAGTCTTTGTTTTAAAGGGAAGTTGTTTTGTAAGAGCAGTTCATCAGCATAGCGAGACATAAGCATTAAACATTGAAGCATTGGTCTGTGTTGCTTCCTTTATCTTTCGTTCTTGCACTACATGGCCTCATGGCTCGTTCTCATGGACTGACACTGTACACACCACCCACAGCTGTCCTTTCATGATGTGACCTGGCATGCTGCCAGGAGGGCCTATTCATCAACAGTGACAATGTAAAGGATAGCCATGTTCTCTTCTTAGTCTTCAGTGGGAGACACATTTGGCCAGAAGTATACCGTTCTGATTTACAGTGCCTAAGAGAAGCGCTTTGCCATTTCAGCCTCATTTTCTCACAAAAACCTAATACATGGAGTCGCTGCACTATTTGGCTCATATAATAATGTTTTTTTAAAAAAATTTTATTCATTTATTTTTGAGACAGAATCTCACTCTGTCACTCAGGCTGGAGTGCAGTGGCGTGATCTTGGCTCACTGCAACCTCCGCCTCCTGGGTTCAAGTGATTCTCCTGCCTCAGCCTCTTGAGTAGCTGGGATTACAGGCATGTGGCACCACACCAGACTGATATTTTTGGTATTTTTAGTAGAGATGGGGTTTCACCATGTTGGCCAGGCTGGTCTGGAACCCCTGATCTCAAGTGATCCGCCTGTTTCGGCCTCCCAAAGTGCTGGGATTACAGGCATGAGCCACTGTGCCTGGCAATAATGTTTATATTAGTTGTTCTTCATTTCAAACCTTGAGTCAGACCCCACCTAGGTTTCTGGTTGCTGAGGAGAATGAAGGTGTCAACTCTTTTGTCGTTATGAGAGTAGATCTATTACACTGGTATGTGGCCTGGGATAATTACATGTACTCGATCTCAGATTTGCATGATGGGGTTCACATGGTGGACTTTGGTGAGTTTGGACCACCCAGCTTCGGCACACCTTCCAAACAGCCAATCAGGTGCCTATTCTGCCCTAGCCAGGTGGCAGCTCGATGACCCCAGCTGGCCCGATTGCACATCCTCCCTGGAATGTGAATTTTAAGCAGAATGATGTGGAGTCTAAACATGGTGAGAGACCATTAAGG